TGTTGTAGTATAAGAAATACAGAATCTTATAAATAAAAGCCAGATGGGTTATTGGATTCTATTTCTATTGTTTGTGGGTCTATCAGATTTTTATCTATTACCGAGGGTTGTTTTCTGTTGGTTATTGTTTTGTTGTTGTTCTTTTTGGTCCTGTTATTCTGCATTTGGATTTTCTGTTGGTTGTTGTTGTTCTTTTCGGTGGGATTCTGATGTTTGTGTTCATGGGAATCTGTTAAAAATATAGTATTCTAGTCCAGGGATGATCTTGTGGTGATCTTATGGTTGGTTAGGGAACAATATTTGCATGTTTTTGTTTTCGAAGATTTTCATAGTCTGTTTGGTTGCTGAGAAAAAGGTTGGAAAAGCAAGGACTTTAGTGAAAAAATAAGGCGGTTGACCAAAAAAAATTATATATTTGGAGGATAGTTGAATTTTGACCTAGGCAGTTTCTCTTTCAGTTCGTTTTGCCAAAGTAGATACAAGCTCTCCTCTATATTGAGGGAGGGTGTTTTCTTTAGTATGCTCCCTCTATATGGAGTTCCAAATGCCAGTGTTAGCTGTTATAAGCGATGCATCTGGCAAAATTGAGCATCATCCTTCTTCATTATATGGGATTGCACCATTATCAGGTTTTTCAGTTTTGGATAACAACCTAGATTAAATCTTAGGGTTGTGCCCGTAACTGAAAACATTCTAAAAGTCTGTTCTAAGGTTGCATGGAATTTGGGTAAGAATTTTTATGGAATAAATGTTGTTGAACATTTTTATGGAATTTGCATTGGCATGCCTTCTAAACATGTGGATTTGTGCATCAGTTTAAGAATTTGTTAGGAAGTCTATGATTTCATATACAATGGCTACTAATCCCTTGGATTGTTATGAAATTTGATTGTGTCCTGTTATTCTGCCTTTGGATTTTCTGTTGGTTGTTGTTCTTTTTGGCAGGATTCTGATGTTTGTGTTCATGGGAATCTGTTAAAAATATTGTATTCTTCAAGCCCAGGAATGACCTTGTGGTGATTTTATGGTTGGTTAGGGAACAATATTTGCATGTTTTTGTTTTTGAAGATTTTCATAGTCTGTTTGGTTGCTGAGAAAAAGGTGGGAAAACCAAGGACTTTAGTGTTTTTTAATCTATTTGGAGGATAGTTGAATTTTGACCTCTTTTAGCTCATTTTGTCAAAGTAGGTAAGAGCTCTCCTCTATCTTGTGGGAGGGTCTTTTGTTTGGCGTGCTCCCTCTATATGGAGTTCCAAATATCAGTGTTAGCAGTTATAAGTGGTGCTTCTGGTACAATTGAGCATCATCCTTTTTCATTAAGATGGGATTGTACCCTTATAAGGTTTTTCAGTTTTGGATGACAACCTAGATTAAATTTTAGGGTTGCTCCCGTAATTGAAAACATTCTAAAAGTCTGTTCTAGGGTTGCATGGAATTTGTGGAAGAAAGCTGTGTAAAAGATCTCACACTAAATGACACCATGCATAATATCATCTTCTTGCACTTTGGCGTTTCCTTGCTTTAGCTAATTCCCATCGGGGATTAGAGAGCTATATGTATAAGATTTATTTAAAATAGGTGGGCGTCCGTGTATTTGTAGCAGCTCAAAAGGCCCTTTTCCTTTGTGTTTCTCTAGGCTGGTGCATGCATTTGCCTTTCTGTTCAAACTGAACCATATATTTTGTTGTGTTCTATTATTAAATCATGACTTGCTTTGTATTTGGCTGTCTACTAGTTCTGCACTAGTTTAAAAATAATTTTTATATAGCTTGTGTCCTTAATTTTCCCAAAAAATAATTTAGGGGTTCAATTCTCAACTGTTAGGAGGCAAAAACAACAGTTTGCTCATAATTTTAACAAGAAGGATAAATTAATAGTAACACTAGAGGCCACTTTGTTTACTTTAGTTTTCTAATAGTCATTGTATTCCAGCAGCGCAATTATCTTTCTCAAGTTTCTCCCCTCATCTCATCACTTTGAAAAGAGCTGACAAAGCTTCTTGTCCTGAGAATATGGTCATGTGCTGTTCTTGACATGTTGTCTTCTCGTTTCACCTGTACCTGTAAACGCATTGGTCTTTCAGGGCCACAACAGCTTCAGTACTTGCTGCACAATCCAAGCCCTGCAAGCATTTCCATTTTAAAACCCTCGTACCATAATCCAAGCCATCCCGATTAATTCTGTTACATGTGCTCGTGATTTGCACTTGCAAGTTAAACCAATCCAGTAGCCCAGAAAATAAACAAGACAAAAAAGAAAATTTTCCGTAGCAAAGCAACTTAGAGAAAATCGATTTTTCAACCTGTCCATCTACCAAAAACAATTTGATATTCTAGAGGGATTCCAAGAGTTGATTTTGATATGAGAGTAGCGGTGCGTACTGATCCATTTTTGGAGAAAATGGAGGGGTCAAAAAAATATAAAGCAAAAGTATACAACTTATACTAACATTTGAAACAAAATAAGCATGATAACAGATTAAAAGACTTCTAAGAATTTTTTAGGAAGTCCATGATTTCATATACAATGGCTGCTAATCCCTTGGATTGTTATGAAATTTGATTGTGTCCTGTTATTTTGCCTTTGGATTTTCTGTTGGTTGTTGTTTTGTTGTTCTTTTCGGTGGGATTCTGATGTTTGTGTTCATGGGAATCTGTTAAAAATATAGTATTCTAAGTCCAGGAATGATCTTGTGGTGATCTTATGGTTGGTTAGGGAACAATATTTGCATGTTTTTGTTTTCGAAGATTTTCATAGTCTGTATGGTTGCTGAGAAAAAGATGGGAAAAGCAAGGACTTCAGTGAAAAAATAAGGCGGTTGACCAAAAAAAATTATCTATTTGGATGATAGTTGAATTTTGACCTAGGCAGTTTCTCTTTTAGTTCGTTTTGCCAAAGTAGATACAAGCAATCCTCTATATTGATGGAGGTTGTTTTCTTTAGTATGCTCCCTCTATATGGAGTTCCAAATACCAGCGTTAGCTGTTATAAGCGGTGCGTCTGGCACAATTGAGCATCATCCTTCTTCATTATATGGGATTGCACCATTATCAGGTTTTTCAGTTTTGGATAACAACCTAGATTAAATTTTAGGGTTGTTTTGTTTTGTGCTTGTGAGATTATAGATTCCTGTTTATGAAATCTATATAAAACTCTATGAAAGTATGTCACTTAAAAGTCATTAAAAATCTGTGAAGTTTATGAAAGTCACTCACTTAAAAAGGTCTACAGAAGGTTTTATATGGATTGAATACACCCCTCAATAACTCAAAGTCTCCTAAATTTAAAGGAAATTAATACTTTTAGGAAAGAAATCCTAATCCAAATAAATTAGGAAACTAGAAATCTTACTGAAATCTGGAAAAATTAGGGCCCGTTTGATAACCATTTCAAATTTAGTTTTTAGTTTTCATTTTTGTGCTAGAGTATAGAGGAAAATGAGAGTGAGTATGAGAGTGGGGATGAGAGTGAGGATGAGATTGAGAGGGAGTATGAGAGGGGAGGATGGGAGGGATGAGTAACAAAAGTGAAAACAAAACTTGGAAGTGAAAACAATTTCAAATAGATTTCAGTTTTCAAACAAGGCAGGAACTAATTGCATGAATCATCTAATGCTCCAAAATTACAAGATTTGAAGACCGAATTAATGATTTCCTCTTCCATCTCTTTCGTTTGTATGCCCTAATGGGTTTGACAAAGATGTCCTCATCATACTTTTATTTGCATGTAATTTGTTTATTTTAATTTTAATATTGCTTTTTGTTTGTTTAATCTCAGGTAGCAGCAGCCTGGACGACATATACATGGTATAGTGAAGGCAACTTCCAATTGAACATAATAGCCGAGTTGTCCTTTTAATTGTTTGCATACTGAATGCTTTTACTAAGTAGGATATGGATATTCTGTATCTGCATCGGATGACATATGCATAGTATAGTGAAGGCAACTTCCAATTGAACATAAGAGCCAAGTTCTCCTTTTAATTGTTTGCATACTGAATGCTTTTACTAAGTAGGATATGGATATTTTGTATCTGCGTGTGCTCCTGTGGTGGCTGACACCACCAAAGCAGCAGCCTGCCCATCCATGGTGGAGTAACTAGCAGCTAATAGATAGCAAGAATTAAAGGACTTCTATTTGCATTTGATATTCTCTTCAATGTTGCAATTGGATTTTGTTGTGCTGTCTCTTATCTTGATTGGGAGCGGTAATTTTACTACAGTTTTCTCATGCAAGCCAATTCAACAACCTTTCTGCTCTTCATACTCCGATACTCTATAGTTGTACTGTATTGTATTTGCCCTCATTCAACATGGCACCTTGAACCTTCTGGCCTTCTTTCTTGTTATAGTTTCTTCCGCTCTCCAAAATGATGATTAAATTATTTACAAATGTTTCAGTTTCATATTTGCTAAACCTTTTGAGATTGTACCAAATTTGTACTCTGCCTTTCTAACATGGTTTCTTGTTACGAACGCGTACAGAAAATGGTATTTGAGTTGGGTCCGGTCCATAACGAGTTCACAAGATAACATGCTTATTAATGTTATGGGTCAATGTTCATTAGCAAAATAAGAGGGAAGTGTTGTTTTCTTTATTTTTTGTGCTTTTAGTTATTTTTCTATTTTCAGTATCTTTCAATTTTCAGTATCTTTCAATCTATTGCTTATTTGTAAGTTTGTTTTAGCCCAGTTTCTTGTAGAGGTTGGCATTTGAACCGGTGAGAACCTGTGAACCAAACCAAACTAACTAAAAGAACTGTGTTGATAAAACCAGGAATAATGTCTAAAATACTTTAGCACAATTAATACCCAAATGCCTCAGAGAACTGGCATTGGAAGACAAATTTACTTGATGGAAGTCGGCAAAGGATTTCAACCAATGCCACGTCAGGAGATCATCAATTGATCATGGTTGTGTTTATGTAAATAACTCTTTAATGAATGATTTCATTTCTTAATATTTTCTTGGGTTTTTAGGTCTAATGATCCTTATTTTATCGGCCGCTTTGTACATATCCATAGTTATAGGAAAACTCCAAAGATACTCACTCTGATAAGTAAAAAAGGAGAGGAATTCCCTCCTAAAATGCCATGGCCATCCAAGCTACTAACTCCAGTGTTCGAAAGAACCCTGCCATTGGTAGGAATGTGGGAGCTACCACTTACAGGAAAGGAAGGAAGTATTTTCATTTCTCTATTCTTTTCTATTTTATCTTCTTCATCTCTTCCTCTCAGAGATTAGCTAGGGAAAAATAATTTTTTTTTTAAATGAAATGAAGAAATATATAAAAGAACAAAACAACCCAAATCTAAAGTCTGATGTCGATGGTTGGTGGGCTGAGGTTGGTCGGAGAGAGCGAGAGAAGGTAGTGATGGTGGAGTATTTGCTCCTTTATTTTACAGGTTATACATATGATTAAAAAGGTCCTTTGTTTCAAAAGAAGAAATCCTTTATATGGGCGCATCTGGGTTTTATGTTATGCGTGCGCGAGGGAGAGAGAAGAAGAAAGGGAGGAGAGAGTGGGAGAAAGGAAGAGGTTGGGATGGGGGTGGGGTGGCTGCGGATGAGGGGTGGGGGAGGCTGAAATGGGTTGGGGTTGGGAGGTGCGGTGACATGGGTTTGTTTGTTTTTAATTTTTAATTTTGGGGGGGGGGGGAGGCTGAAATGGGTTGGGGTTGGGAGGTGCGGTGACATGGGTTTGTTTGTTTTTAATTTTTAATTTTGGTTAATTTTAATTTTAATTTACTAAAAATAAATATGTTACTTGTCCGGCCAGGTATGAGGACGGGGAGGGATAACAATACCATCTCAGCCCATCCACAATCGGGGATGTTAAGCAGGGGGCTCAGGGATTTTATGTCATTCCAAATCAAGAATTCTATAGTGAGGGCCTTATTCTAAGGTCATTAGATGAAACTCTATCTTTTAATTGTTAATTGTTGGATGTCATCCAATAATTGAGAGATACGACCTTATATAAGGGTAAAGCCCTCACTATAGCATGACCATCCCTAATTCCAATTGCAATCAGGAGTTGGATTTGCTGAACAGTTGAGGCAAATTTTCCCAAACCCCAAAGGAAACACAAAACAATCCCAAACCCCAAAGGAAACACAAAACAAAAGGAGCGACCAGCACCTTCTCCACTATAAAAGCCCCTTCCAGCCGCGAGAAACTCCATTCTTTTTATTTTTTTCAAACTCAATTTTATCTCTCTCAGTATTTTTTATTTCTTTCTTTTCTTATGGGTGAATTGGAAAACCCCCTCCTCAATGGATTCTGGGCCGCGCAGCCAACTCCTCATGAGCCGGCCCCCATCGCGGACCAATGCTTGAAACCGACCCTTAATGCTTGCACAAGCTTCAATCGGAAGAGAATTGCCGACAATGGTAAGGAACTTTTTAATTTCTCCAATTTATGGAATTTAGATCCCTTTTTCGAATCTAGTTTCATGACCGTTATGTAATTTTGTTACTGATGATTAGAGTTAGTGGTTAACATGGTAGAATGATCATGTGTTAATGGGTCTTATTGGAAATTAGCTAGTTATGGTCAGAAAGCAACAATCTTTGGAACTAATATGTTTATTGCTGCTATTGATAATCACATGAGTTGCTGCTGCTCTTGAAAATCATATGTACGAAGTAAAAGTAAGAACTTTTTCCTTAGACTGATGGTGCTTTAATTGTTATGGCCATGGTAATGTATGCATAAACTTTGATATTTTGATGGCCAAGTTAATTAGACTATTGTTTTATGAGGATGTATGATATCTTGCAGGAATTCAGACATCTAGTGATGCTAAACGTGTTGCCAGATCTGCAAAGATGCCCCACTTGAGCAACAAGAACAGAACATCGTCCTCCAATACTCTTATGAGTTCTGAACAGGAAATTGAATGCGGTGGGGCTTCCTTGAAGCCTGTATCTGGATTTCTTAAGCAGAAGCAATTCAAGGAGGACATTCAATGCAGGTTTCTTTCTAATTACGCAATTTTTATTCCTATAATTGAAAACAGATTAGATTTGTCAGTTCTCTATGGCTTCTAGGGATAATTATTTCTAGGAACATTCATATGATCTATGCCTCATTTATTTATAAAATTCTTCAGACCCAGGTTTCCAACATTTAGATTTAGGTTGTTGCTTGGAAGTTAGTGTACTTGTTGAGCACAATTGTATTTTCTGGTGAAGCTTTACTGTCATCCATAGTTCCATACTTTACAATCTCCAATATACCTTCACATTTTGTAGAAACAGATAAAACCTTTTGAAAATTGAACAAGATGAGAAAGCAGTATATCACTTTAGTGAAAAAGGATGCGTCAAGACAGAAAACCATGTTAATCAGTGTACCTTCCTATACCCCTTAGTACTTGGCTCTTGATAAGCTAACATCATCACCATATCTAGAAACAAGGATAAACACGTTTTACCTTTTGTTTTTATTTTTCTTCTTAAGCAAACAATGCATTGGAAAATGCCCTTCTTTCATGCACATTAGGTTCTAAGTCTTAGTTCTGCCATACAACTTAGGGTTTGGCAGTGGTCAAACACATCCATATTGGCCTGCCATCACATATATGATATAGATTATGTAGTTTGATCAAGATATTGTGTTTTTTTTTTATAAATTCTTTTTAATTTAACAAACAATATGTCGATTCCACACAGCATTTTTTTAGAGGGCATACATTATGTGCATAATTTATTGCATGGCTTAGGTTGATTAGTTGCGATACTCGTACCAAAGGAAGGAAGAGATCCCGGTCATCTCTTGGATTGCCGACGTTTAGTCTTTTAAAAGGATCAAAGAGATCATCACCAGCAAAAAGAAGACCATCATCAATTGATGATCTCCCTGATGTGGCATTGGTTGAAATCCTTTGCCGACTTCCATCAAGTAAATTTGTCTTCCAATGCCAGTCTGTGTCCAAGCGTTGGCGCACTGTCATCTCAGATCCTTATTTTATCGGCCGGTTTGTACATATCCAGAGTTATAGGAAAACTCCAAAGATACTCACTCTGATAAGTAAAAAAGGAGAGGAATTCCCTCCTAAAATGCCAAGGCCATCCAAGCTACTAACTCCAGTGTTCGAAAGAATAATGAGTTTCCACCCTTTGATAAGAGAGCTAGTTGTGGTAGCAACGTATAATGACCTAGTTTTGTGTTGCGCAAGTGAGTATTATCAACGCAATTACTACATCTGCAATGCATACACAAGGCAATGGGTTGCTCTTCCTCCGGCCCCAAGTCGATGTCACGAGACTGTACAAGTGGGATTCATCTGCGATATTCCCGACTATAATTATAAGAAAGACGGACATAACATCCAGCTTAAAGCTGAGTGTAGGTGCAATGTTGTGCGAATTCTTCCTCCTGATGAATTGGCATATGATGAGAAATGTGATTCCTTAAAATTAAGCGTGGAGATCTTCTCTTCTGAGACTGGTGAATGGAAAGAATCAGTTGTGACTTCCCCACTACACTTCAATTTTCATAAACTTGATGATATCTCCTTTGCATACAATGGGATGTTATATTGGAATAGAAATGACTTTTTTTTTGTTGGTTTGGGTCCGTTCAACGACAATAACATAACTACTACTAGTAGCAGCTGTAATGGTGATGACGTTATTGATCATAAACTTCGTTTTACTGTATTTAAGGAGCCTCTAGACAGCCGTTTTATAGCTGGGTGCCTAGGTGTGTTTGGTGGATGTGTGCGGATGTGCGACTTTAATGTGGCTAACAAAACTCTATATGTTTGGGAGTTGAAAGAACGAGATCATGATCGGATGGTCGATGCAGCTGCTGGCAAGTTGTGTGTAAGTAACCACAGGATATATCACTTGGACCCAGAAACATACCCGGATGATCCAATAACGTGTACAATGCAGGCATTTGACCCAAATAATGAGGATATTTTGTATCTGCGTGTGGATGGTGATATTATCAAGTGCAACATTCGTACAAGAGAGTGGTGTAAGATAGTTAGACAGTGTCCGGTTGCTAATGGTTACTATTACCGAATTGTGCTCCCATGGTGGCCGACTCCAGTTCCTGGACTACCAGAGCATGCCCATCGTGGAGGTACTAGCAGCTAGTGGATAGCAAGAATTGAAGTACTAGCTTTTATTTATTAAAGTTGGATTCTTTGTATTTGGTATATGCAGCAATATTGCACTTTTATTTGGTGGTAATTACCCAAATATGTTCTTTTCAGTTATTCTTTGTGGTCATCTGTTTTCTCCATCTTATTCTTATTACACCCAGTTTATTAATTAAAGCAGAAATTTTCAAGAAAACCAAGTCTCCATGACCTGATCTTGATCTGCATGCTTTAGTTTTCAGAAATATTAAGGTTGCAAGACTGTTTTTTCAGTGGCCTTCTGTTGAGGAGTTGCTAGTTAAGTGCCATTTATTTTCCTAGAATGTTGCGGTTGCATTCAAAGAGAGTATTATGTCGTCGTATGCTTGCTTGGACTTTGTTTTTTTGGCTCTTGATTAATTTTCTGCATTGGACTAGTCTCGACCTTCCGAATTTTCCAGTTTTTACCCTTCTAGCTTTCAACATCTCGGCCAACTCTATGCCAACCGGACTCTCCAGTTCCTGGACTACCAGAGCATCCCCATCGTGGAGGTACTAGCAGCTAGTGGATAGCAAGAATTGAAGTACTAGCTTTTATTTATTAAAGTTGGATTCTTTGTATTTGGTATATGCAGCAATATTGCACTTTTATTTGGTGGTAATTATCCAAATATGTTCTTTTCAGTTATTCTTTGTGGTCATCTGTTTTCTCCATCATATTCTTATTACACCCAGTTTATTAATTAAAGCAGAAATTTTCAAGAAAACCAAGTCTCCATGACCTGATCTTGATCTGCATGCTTTAGTTTTCAGAAATATTAAGGTTGCAAAACTGTTTTTTCAGTGGCCTTCTGTTGAGGAGTTGCTAGTTAAATGCCATTTATTTTCCTAGAATGTTGCGGTTGTCATTTGAATAAGTTTTTTTTTATATATAAAATCATTAATATTTGGACGAAACATCAATGAAAAGGGGTTTTATGAAAACAATTTGAGACATAAGGGGGTGTTTGTGTAATTTTTAAAACCTCATGAAGTTTTGTGAAAACACCGAATTAATTAAATAACTTTTCATTAAATGAAGACAATACAGGAAATTAACACTTTTTATTTTTAAAAAATTATAAAATAAAATAAAAAGAGAGCATGGATCTGTTTTTTTTTTTTTTTTTTTTTTTGAGAAAATGTATCTCATTTTGGAATATTAGCCAACTCATTATATCTTTCTTAATTTTAAAATTTATTATTATTAAAGTTCCTAATTGTAAATTGCAAAAAAAAAAAGAAAAAAAAAAAGACCAATTGTCGAGGGCGAGAGTATATTCCTCTTTGATATATAGGAAGAGCTAAAATAGAGCTCCAACTTTTCCAATTTGAGATTCTAATAGGTTCTTATAAACAAACCTAAATAACATTAAAAAATATATTTTCCAGCTAAAAATTCAAAAACTCTAAACAGCGGGAGAGTTTGGCGAACCAATAGAAAATTCACAAAATACCGAATAACTGAAACTGGACCATCAAACACCCCATTTCATCAGACCCAAAAAAACGAACACCGCATTTCAAAATTCAATATCATCGATCGAACCCTAATCTCCCAAGATCGTCCTCACAAGACTTCAGAAAAAGTATCATTAACTAGTTTTTAGATTTTTCCATAATGTTATTGGTTCTTATGTGCTTCATATCTTGTTTGCACTATGTGTTACGCGAAATATGATAATTTTGTTTTGGAAGTCTTTTAATCTGTTATCATGCTTATTTTGTTTCAAATGTTAGTATAAGTCGTTCTGACAAAAAAAAAATATAAAAAATGTTAGTATAAGTCGTATACTTTTGCTTTATATTTTTTTGACCCCTCCATTTTCTCCAAAAATGGATCAGTACGCACCGCTACTCTCATATCAAAATCAACTCTTGGAATCCCTCTAGAATATCAAATTGTTTTGGTAGATGGACAGGTTGAAAACGCAAATTTTTATTGTTCTTGTAAAAAATCGATTTTTTCTAAGTTGCTTAGCTACAGAAAATTTTCTTTGTTGTCTTGTTTATTTTCGGGGCTACTGGATTGAATTGGTTTAACTTGCAAGTGCAAATCACGAGCACATGTAACAGAATTAATCGGGATGGCTTGGATTACGGTACGAGGGTTTTAAAATGGAAATGCTTGCATGGCTTGGCTTTGAGTTGCTTTTCAAAGCTACTTTCAAAGGAAGCATATATAAATATTTAATAATTTTTTTTAATTCCCAAAATACCATCATTCATTTTAAAAAATGACACCACCTCCACTTTCACATCCAACTCCACCACTTGCACCACCACATTCACCACCGCCAATGCCACCGCCACCATCACCACATCCTCCGCCACAACCACCACAGCCACCACCTCCTCCACCTCCACCACCTCTGCCACCACTTCCTCCTCCACCTCCACCTTCACCTCCACAACCACCACCACCACCACCTCCTCCAAAACCTCCAAATCCACCACCACCTCCACAACCAACATCACCACCACCATATCCACCACCACCACCACCACCACCTCCTTTAATATAACAAAAAGGAATATATAATGTTATAATATGTTTGTACATAGAATATCATTTCATTTTGTCTCATCTTCCTAACATCAACCTATTGTGCTACCATCCATAGCTTATTTAAAGCACATATTTCCAGCAGCCCATGTCTCAACTTAAAGAAAAATTCCCACGCGATGAAAAGGATAATGCACAGACACTTCTTTCTGTAATGGGAGGTCAGACTTGCAAGATTGGTTAAGATGTTCCAAACTAGAGTGTGTAAGTGTTGAAGAACAACTTGAAGAACTTGAGGAAATTGAAACTGGTATGTTATTTCTAACTTTAATTATTTTACATTTTGTATTTCATTCTTTTGTTATAATTATAATATAAATGTATGGTCTTATTGCAGTTGTAAGCCAAGAGTTAGAAGGCCTATCACGAGAATGACTGGTGTTGACAAATCTTGTTTGGTTTTGTTTTATTTAAGTATGTAGATTTTTGATGTAAAAGAAAATCACTGCAGTTGTAACTTCAAGTTCTGTTATGGATGTTATCTATGTTAATTGTTGTGTTTGTAAACATTGCTCATATTTTGTTTGGGGTTAGCTTAATCAAGATTAACAAGAAAATATAAATAAATAAAAAAGTGAAATTAAAAAAATTAGTGTCCTTATTTCGAAAATTTCAAAAAATAGTAATTTCCGGAAGTTTCTGAAAATTCCGTATCGGAATATTCGAAATCGGCATCAGAACTTAAAATCAATTCCGAAAAATTTCGGATCGGAATTTGAAACACCTGTTTCCAATCCGTTTCAGCCGAATTACACCCCTAGGAGTGTGCATTTATGAAAATGTAATCCCCCCCCCCC